AAGGACGGCTGAGATGGATTCCATGAATGGCACGATGCTCCATGTCGTTTTACACTGGGGAACGAGGAAGGCACCATGCATTTCCAAACCGGCGCCATAACCCAAATAGTCAAGCAGGGGAGATTACCAAGAAATCGCTCTGAAACTCGTTCACAAATAACCTCGCTTATAGATAAGACATCTTATTTGTGCTTCGCTGTTGCAACCTTCGCGAGCTTGTACAGCCTCAGCAGGCCAACAAGCCATCCACCGACGAGATGAGCTAGACCATGTGCAGAGTCAGTTAAACCACATCCTGCAAGAGAAGACTGTGCATGCATGCCAAGTTATGCATTCGGGAACAACAGCGGATTTTTGATCGACTGTAAAGCTCTCCTCTCTTGAAAAGGCTCTCCAGCGACGATGAAGTATATTTTTTCCACATCAGATAGAGCATTCATCTTTTGCGCGAAAAATGTCGCCAAAAAACTCGCAATCGCAGTGCCGATTTTGAACTTGCTTGGGTGACATCACTTAGGAACATAGGTCTGAAGCTGTGAATGTGACTATTTTATAACCTATGTATGAAATCCTCAACTCCTGCCGTAATCAACCCCGGAAAGAAAGGTTGCGGAACGCTGGACGACGGCATCCCAGAGCTTTCCCTCGCCCTCGTGCAGACGAAAAGGAAGACCAGTTGCCCAAATTATCTCCGGGAACAAGAAAACAAGCTCTGACTGCCAATACCCACAGTTCATGGGCCCAGGGGTAGCGACTTAAGTGCAGATGTTTGGAGTGCGTATGGTAAAATGCACGAAAGTAGCGTAGCAATAACAAGTATTACTGGATGGTTTTCTCCTAAAACTTCCATGTGTGCGAAATGTTTAGCTTACCATCCACCAAAACTACTGTCCGACAGCAGGCTACAGGTAGGTGGAAAAACCGAACGCCGTTCATCCTGTGGAACACCTTCGGCCTTGAATATATAAATAGGTCCCTAGAAGATCATCACAACACTCTGGCCATTTTCTCGATAGACCGAAAACGTTCATGTATGCCCGCTGTAAGTCACACGGAGGCAGGTACTCTTCTCTCACGGTCGCTGAAAGACTTTTAACCTTAGCTTAATTCTATCAAAAGGATCTCCCTACGTTTTGCGTCTGTGTCGAAGCCTCCTCGGGCGGACATCTATCCAAGAACATGACTGCGACATTGCACCCGCGTTGCTTACGCGGCTCATGTCCCCATCGCCAACTACTCCTAGCAGCGCTTCTGGCATATTATGCCACGCAGAATCAACTCGTAACCGCAGCGCGGAGCCAGAGTGTTGGCCGGGAAGTTCATACCTATCGCCAAGGCGGACACCAAGCAGAAGATGCAGGAGTAGCTACAATCGCAGCGCTGGCAGCAAATCAAAACACTTTAGGAGGGACAGCACGGGTGTCCGATCGCAGTCTTGAGGAGATGTCGCAGCCGGCGCTCGCTGCAGCCTACATGGATTCCCTGCTCGCGGACCCTGTGGCTGCACAGACGAGGCTTCTTGGAAACTTCACCAAACGCAACAAAGCAGCCGTAATCTACATGTGCTTCGAGCGGATGGAGATGATACACCGAGCCATTCCTGCCATCCTCAGCAGCGAGGGCTTGGCCGAGTTTGACTTTTTTATATCACAGGATGGCGGCGCCGCTTCTATCTTCGAGAATGGAACCGTGTCCATCCCCAGCGATACACAATTCGCCTACATTCGCCATCCAGCAAACCTTTGTGCGGGTCTGCACCATTACTTTGTCAAGGCTTTCGCTTTCGACATTATGGGTTACGACATTCTGTTGATCGTGGAGGAGGACAACATCATACACCCTCAGGCGCTGCAGGTACGCTGACGACCTGATACCCAACCAAGAGTGAAGCGGTGTTCGAACCACAGGCGCACTTCGCATGCACATGTTTGCTTTCCATCATATGCAGCCCACAAGCACATTGGGCACCGTATTTTGTATTTGTGTATAGATGGCGACTCGTCGCTTTGTATCCTTGCTAGACCAATCAGTGCCTTGATATATTTTAGCCAGGCAGGTCAACGTGTGCAAGCCTGCCTGCCTGCAAGCCGGCCGAGCAGTTAAAATTCCGCCACCCCATTAATGCTGTCCTACCTACTGTCCCCTACCCATATTTCCCACAGCTGCTGCGACGGATGGCACAACTATCCGTCTTTGAGCCAGAAATCGGTATTGTAAGCCTTCTTGACATGGACCTGTCGCCGTTCCTAGATGCCGAGCGCTTTGCCGCGGGCCTTATCCCCGTGGTCGGCCATATGGGTCATTTGTGGGTGTTTGGCCTGCACCGCGTCAAGTATGAGCTCGCGCGTGGCTGCCTTCGGGACTATTACGACGTGATTAAGGGTCATGAGTACCGCGCGAAGCACTTGCCTCCCTTGCGCGAGACGATTCAGGCACTGATGCAGGCAAAGGGCTTCCCACCGACAACAGCGCTGTCGCAGGTGCGTTAGGGCGTTATGTGTCGATATGTATGTCTGAAGAACATCGCGCTCCCGTAGCGATCAGCCGATAGCTGGTAACCCAGATGAACACTTGATCAGGGTTGCCAAATTTACACATCAAATCCCTCTTGCTTGCGACAGACGTTTGACGATTGTGATCCTGGGAGCAAGATCCCATATTTTTAGCCTAGTGTGCGGCCTTGAAATGCTAGACATGCAGCATTGGACAGCCGTGCAAATGGACAAACGACACCAGTGGTCTAATCGACAGGAAGAGATAAAATTCTTGTTTGCCGCCGCTCTTTGACCTTCGGTTGCCACCTCCGCACCGTACCCCGCAGGACCGCTGGTTTATCAACTCTCTTGCGAAATTTGGTTTCACGAAGCGATACCAGACGCTCTTCCGCTTCTTCGAGCCCATCGGTAGCTACGGCTTGCACTTCCGTATGAACGAGTCGCGATTTTACGACATGTTTGGGCGTGGCATGTACGGCGGTCGCATTGATCCATATGCTGCATTTGATGTCACCAAGGACCCGCAAAATGTCGAGGCTATCAAGACAACTGTCCGTGAACGCCTAACGTCCCTGTACGACAAGTACTGGGACGGAAAGCTCCCGCCGGATGCTGTAGTGAACAGCACGTTTTATGCCCTGATCGAGGGCCGGCTGAACGGGGCAGGGAGGGTGAGGAACATCATGCGAGGGCCCATGTAGATGCAAGGAGCCGCCCAAGTGGAATCCTGGACACCGATCAAGGTGTCCGTTGGACAACAGAGTAAAGCGGCCGGAAAGGCAGGGCTTCATCCGCCCCGCTGTGCGCCGCTGCCGGCCAGGGCATGAACGAACGAAGCAGCCAGATCCTGCCAGGACGAGTCGTGCAGCAGGAGTACAATAATGGATTGATGCTCTGCGCCCTGTTTATGGTGCGTGCACAGGTGTCCCATGCATGGGCCATGGCACAGTCAGCTAATATTGTGTGGTGAGGTGTGACTGTCGGGATTGTCTGTTTGTGGTTTTGATACTCATGCTCATCTGTTCTTCGCTTGCAATATTTTTAAACTATTAGAATGCTGTTTCCGTTGTTGGGCAAATTCGCTGTACGGTTACGATCATGTCCATACACACAGAACAGTGCTTGCGTGGGGCGGCGATCTTCATGTCTGTTGGGTGGGGCCCCTGTACTCCGCAAGGAGCATCCCAGCCAACCACGGTCTTGTCATGGATGACAAGGCTTTTCAATGTCTTTCATGCTTCCAGAGCCCAGCAGGTCTGCTTTCGAAGCGGTGTTTTTCATGCTTTCTGCAGTGCGACGGATGTCATAGCTTCGTTGTTTTCCTGCAAGGTAGCAATCCTGGCTGTGACGCGAGGATTTATTCGCTCTGACAATCTCAGAGACTACTTATTTGGAATTCAATTTTTTGTTTGGTGTTTTCGATTGCTTTAAGAGGGGACGTTCCGCAGGGGTGAATGGGTTGGGTACCGACTACGGATGATGGCCGACAGCGACTAATCGTTTTGGTGGTGATGGTAGTAAATGTAATTGTGGGCTGGCGGATGAGGGTGTGCAAGGACTGACGGCCGGCACTGATCGCTTTTATAAGTTGTTCCATGCTGAATTTTGTTCACAAACCCCAGGAACGCTGCTATGCTGAGAGAGGGAAAAGAAGGACAAGCATGGCTAATCCTTTCTTCCTATAGTTTGATGTTCAGGTGTGATCCGTGACTCCTAACCGCCGGGTACCTGTGTCATTCCCAGCCTTCTGCATCTGAGCCCATGGTTTGGGAACGGCCGGGCTTTGGATGTTGTAACGATGGTTTGGAGTCCAAATCAGGATTAAAGGACCGCAGCCAGAAGTGTGCCTCCCACGATACGATACCAAACCATGCATTACTCCACCTGGGTCGCAAGTGTGATTACTGTACTTCGTGGCAGGTGGTTCTTGGTTGCAGGCTGGCTGGTGGGGCCCTAGGTCTCAGTGCTATCATCTTCGATCTGACGTATGCTACCGGCCTAAGAAATTGACCGTTACAATGGGGCTCCTTCACATGTACGGGAAAACTCAACAGTGGCCTGTACGGTATAATGCAGATCAAGCATCGAGCAAAGGCATGGTTTTCATGTACTCATTCCTAAGACCAATTTAAGTGTTGCAAGAGTAGCTGTCAGAAACAATCAAATCTGCACCTGATTCACGTCATCAACTGGCAGTCCTTTTTTGGAAACCTGTATGAATATTCGACTTAAACGTAAGATATATTTTTAATTATTCATCGCGGTAGCGCCAAGGTGATAACATGGCGCCGAAGCGCGGTGGTGGTGGCGGCGAGCGAGTAGAAGCTAGAACAGTCTTAACCGCAGTCCTGCTTGCGGATAGCTTTACACAGGTGAAACCGGAAGCAAATGCCGGTGCATCAGCCTCAGTGGTTGAAATTACACTTGTGGATTTCTCCCAGTGTAAGGGTTCAGGCATGCATGCATTAAGCATTTCCCGGTGGATACATCGCGCAGCGGTTTCGCCCTATAACTATCGAGCGACCCAAGGCGCTTCTGCCGCTCGTCAATGTGCCGATGATCGAGTACGCGCTGGAATGGCTGGCAATGAACAACATCGAGGAGGTACGGGAAGCGCCACAGGGCCACAAATTTCATGCAGCCACGGCCAGGTCAGGTCGCCCTTCCTTCGGGGGCCCCCAGCGGTCGCCGGTTGTGTTTGCCGGAACTAAAAGCGCCTTCAGTTCCTGCCACAGGCCAAGCGCAGCCCGACGGCCATACGTTTTCTCCAGGACCCCTTTCCGGCACCCACCGGACGAAAACCACGGGCACTGAATTCTAGCCCCTAAGCCCAGTGGCCAGCTCACAGGAGGCCGGGGAGTTAGCACGGGCAGGTGCTATCCGCAGACCTCCGTTTTCTTTTTCAGGCGGGATGGGTGCCATCCAGCAATTTGCCTGGGCCCCGCTTGCAAGAGGACAGGAAAGGGTTGAATGTCTGCACAGATCCCGTGACGGCCAAGCGAGTAATCGCCTCAGGGGTTGGTGCTGCTCCCCCTGGCCGCACACCTCGCATGGCAATCCCTCTGGGTACCGCAGCATCTATGCGCTGTTAGTCACTGTGCCTTGTGTGGGTGTGCGTGCCTATCCCGAGTGGGTGCTTCCCAAGTCAAAAACAGGTCCTTTAGGGATGCTGGGGTTACAGGCGTGGGGTTGCAGCCCAGGTGGGACTGCCAGCGCTGGACGTCATCCCACCCTGTTCTCTGCCGGCTGCTGCCAGTCGGTAATGGGCTCAGAGCTATGCCACTTAAGGCGGAGACCAACCCATTTGGGATTTAGGGGTTACAGCTAGCGCGCTTGGTTGCCTGTGGTGTTGGATGGAGGGGATGGAGGGGAACCATACGAGGGTGAGGATGAGGATGGGAGGCGCCACAGCCCTGCGCGATCCAGACATGGCTGAGTTCATTCCGCAGATCTAGGGGCCACCTGGCGGGTTAGGCGGCTGGAGCGAGTTCAGAATGGACTGGGCAGGAATTCATGGAGGCTGCCCGGGGGGACCCTGGGGAGCATTCGAAACGGCGGGACCCTGGTGCAGTCGGAGCGTGGCTGTGCAGAGATATGAAAATGACGTGTGCCGGAGCTTTGGAGCTGGAATGGATCCTTTCCTTAGGGTTCCTCCCGGGAGCTGTCCCGGAAGTCACTGACCGCGATCCCTCCTGCGTGCCTCCCCTCCCCCGCCCCCCCCCCTTTTCCCTGATCGTTCGCCAGACATTTGTGTTTTGCTGTGCGCATGCCGACCTCATAAAGCGCTACCTGTCCGAGTCTAAGTGGGCGTACAGCAAGGACATGAAGGTGCGGCCCGTTGCTCGCGTCTGGGTGTGCGGAGCGCGGGGTTGAAGATAGCTTTGAGATGACGGAATGAAATGAGATATTTCAAGGGCCGGATGGGGGTGGGCGGGCATGGTTGGGGTTCCAGGGAATGGAGCGCCCAAGCGTTTGTACGGGCCCGTTCGAGTGGTTGGCGGAAGAGCCGATTGCGGTGGTGGTGGTGATGATGACGACGATGATGATGATGATGATGATGGTGGTGGTGGCGAATGAGAGGGCAGTAGCAGGTCTAGTTCGGTGAAGGCTGGGAGCTTCGGTGGCAATCGCCCGGCTGGGGAACCGCTGTGTGAGGAGCGTACGCACCACATCTCTCTCCCCTCCTCCTCCTCCTCCTCCTCCTCCTGTTCCGTCTCCAGGTGACCCCCATAGTATCCACAAATTGCCTGTCCGCGGGTGAGGCTCTGCGCCTCATCGACCAGCGCGACCTGATCAAGGGTGATTTCGTGCTGTGCTCCGCGGACATCGTGTCCAACATGAAGCTGGCGCCCATGCTGGAGGCGCACCGGGCTAGGAGGGCGGCGGATAAGAACGCAATCATGACTCTGGTAAGGGCTGATGGTTGAGGGGCATTGTATGCTATGCAAGCAGCAGAGGGCCGGGGGAAGGGAAGAGCGAAGCCGCTGCCCGTGGGGGCTGGAGGAGGCCGAGCCTCGGAACGTGTTTTGTGCAGGGGAGGGAGAGGGATTGGATAAAGAGGGGGGCATTTTACCTTGACCCCGTGACCTATGACCATACATCGCCCTGACCCCCTGACCCCCTGGCGTAGGGGCCGGGGAGGGAGGGGGGAAAATAGTAGCTCCCCAGACGAGGGTAGAGTGGGCTTGGTTGGGGGGATTGGATAGGGGGAATAGGAGGAGGGCTGCATGGAAAGCTGGCGCAAGCATGATCCGGCAGTGTGGGAGGGAGGGGAGTGTGTATGTATGTATGTGTGGATTAAAGGTGCGTGGAAATGGCGGGGCGGTTGGGTCCTGCCTGGGATGGGAACGGGAGGCACGCGCTGGGAAGCCTGGTGGGTGCTGGTGTGGGGGGTGAGACTCTTGAGTGCTTGTCACCCGAGCTCAGGGCCCCGCCCACACACACACAGACACACATACACAGACACACACACAGACACACACACAGACACACACACAGACACACACACAGACACACACACAGACACACACACAGACACACAAACAGACACACAGACACACACAGAAACACAAAAACACCAGCAAGCGCGGGCTTCGTTTGCAGTATGCGAGGAAGCTGCACTTCCTGGAACTCTTCATTACGGTGGGGCCTTTCTTGGGGCCGAACAGCTTTTTCCCACTGGCTGCCCCCCCCCCCACCTGATTCCCCACCTGCGACCCGACAACGACAACAACAGTTTGGCACAATTTGCATTTGACCCGCTTCGTCCTGCTTCCCACCAAGGGCCAGATAATCTATCGAAAATGATTTCTTCATTCAATTCATGCATCGTATTAACCAGCCTAAAAGTCATATCTACAAGGCATGAATTTTTAAACAAATCTGAAAAGGTGTGATGAAGCACTCCAAAATTTATAGAAACCTTTCTCCCCGGCCGTTCTCCCGTGCTTCCCTCCCCCGCCACCCCAGGCCATGAAGCCCGTGCACCACCCCAGTCAGCGGCTGCGACTGGGGGACTCGGACTTGGTGGTGGTGCTGGATGCGACGACGCAGGTGGGAGACGAGGGAGGGAGGGAGGGAGGGAGGAGGGAGGGAGGGACTTCGTGTTTCCGCGGTTGTGCTCCGTCGCGCTCAACGTGATACGTCGCTTGCGCCTTTGCTAATGCTTCTCGTGTTCACATGCAAACCTGCCTCCTGCCCTCTCCTTTCTCTTTGGTTCCTTCCCCACTCCTTCCCCCCCTTCGGATCCCCTTTCCACCCCCCTCCTTCCTCGATCCACCAGCGGCTGCTCAAGTACACGGAGATAGAGCCGGGGCGGCCCGAGACGGTGGCCAAGCTGGACTGCGCCCTGTTTAGCGAGCGGGACGAGCTGCAGGTGGGGCTTGGGTGGGGATGCCTCGGGGTGCGAGTCATGTCTCAAAGGGGAGCATTACTCGCGTGTTTCTGAAAAAACCCTTTCCTGCATTCACTCTTCCCTTGCATCCGGTCGTGGCAAGCGCCACGTCGTGAAAAAAATGTCCTTCTCGTCGACCACCTCGCCCTCTTCGCAGCACTTCCCGCCCACCCCTCCCTGGAGGATTGCGGACCCAGCGGGCAGGTTTCCTGGTTCCGTGTAGTTGGGGCCCCCGGGGGCTCCCCCCTCGTAACCCCGCGCCCCTCCCTTCAGGTGTCCGTGCGTGTTTCGCACCCGCCACATCGCCGACCCTGCAGGTGGGGGCCCACCCTCTCCAGCCCACCCACCCCTCCCCAGCCCTCCCCAGCCCTCGCTGTGTTTTCTTTCCCTTGTTTGACCACTCCTCGGCCCCCTTGCCAACCCCACTCCCCTCGTCGCCAGATTCGTTGCGACCTGCTGGACACCAACATCGCTATTTGCGCGCCCGAGGTCCTGCTGCTCTTCTCGGACAACTTCGACTACCAGGTGAGGCAGGCAGGGACGGAAACGGCGGGGGCGGGAGGGGGGAGGGAGGGAGGGAGGGAGGCAGGGAGGGAGCGAATCTGGAACACACGAGGGAAGGGGAAAACACGATGAAATCCACATCTGATGGTATTAGTTACACCCGTGCGTTTACTTCATTCTGTATCACCACCGCCACAAGGGAAGTTCTGCCGCTTGCCGCGTCCTCTTTCGTCCTACTCCCTTTTTCAGAACATCAAGCGCGACTTCGTGTCGGGTGTGTTATCGGAAGAGGAGCTGGGTAACAAGCTGCATGTGTATGAGCTGCGGCACCACGAGTACGGCGCCCGCGTGCACAACCTGCGCTCCTATGACGCCGTTAGCCGGGACCTACTGCAGTGCTGGGCCTTCCCCTTCGTGCCGGACACCAACGTGTTTACGCTGGGGGGGAACCCTACTTGGGGCCAGACTAGCTACCGGTAGGGGGTGGGTGGGGCTACCGGTGGGGGTTGGGTGGGGGGCGGTCTGCGCTGCGGCTGGCTGGGGGCATATGTCGCAATTGAGTGTTGAATGGAAATATATCCTGAATGTGTGTGTGGGTGTGTCTATGTGTATGTCTGTTTGTGTGTGTGTGGGTGTGTGTGTGGAAAGGGGGGTATGCGGTCCCTTGCGCTCGCCCCATGCTGATTCTGCATGGAGGAGTGCAACGCTACTGTTTGGACTTCCCTTGCCTTTCCTGTGCCTTCCCTCCATCGCTTATACCCCGTCCCTACGGCCCCTTCCCTGCGGTCGCCCTGTTTGGGGTCCATTTGGACGTCAGCGATTGATCTTTGCATCTTTACGTCATCATCGCCGTCATCATCATCATCATTACATCATCATCATCATTATAATTCCCCCTTTTTCCGCTGCCCTTCCCCAAAACCACACACGCACACACCGCCATCCGCGCGCGCCGCTTCCTCCCCCCCTCCCCCCTTTGCAGCTATTCCCGGGGTCAGCGCTACTTGGAGCAAACCGTGTCCCTAGCCCGGTCCACAGTGCTGGGGGAGGACGTGTGTATCGGGGCGGGGACGTCGATAGGTGCGGCACCTGGGGCCGGGGTGGGGTGGGGTGGGGTTACGGGGCCCCACACGGAGAGGGACGTAGAGGGACGTAGAGGGAGGGATTGCGGGCGAGTGGGGCGAGTGAGTGCTTTGGGGCTGAGTCGAGTCGAGTCGAGTCTGGCCGTGTCGGGTGGGGTGGGGTGGGGTCGGGTTCCATCCGAGTTGCAGTTCCTTGGCATCCTGTCTATTAGACCTCACTGAGCGTTCTTGGTTTGTTATTCCTCCTCCTCCTCCTTCTCCTTCTCCTCCTTCTCCTCCGGGTCGCACGCCCCCGTGCAGCAGCCTTCTCCCAACCCCTCGATTCCCCGCCTCCCCCGGGCTCCCGACTTTCGCACGCAGGTGAGGGCAGCCGTGTTGTTCAGTCGGTGGTTGGTCGCAATGTGCGCATCGGTCGTAATGTAGACGTGGTGGGCAGCTACGTGCAGGACGGGGTGGCCATACAGGTGAGGGGGGAGGGGGGAGGGTGTGTGGAAGTGGCCGCAGCGGCGATGGGGGAAATGTCGACGATGGTAAACAATCACGAATAGCTTTACCGACGGTCCTTGTGATTTTAGTTTTAGGTTCTCACCCGCATTTGTGACGTAGATTCCCGGCAGACCCGCACGCATCGCGTCGCGCCGTGAACATGTGTTATTCTGCGACCTTCCCTTCCCTTAGGGGCTCCTACAGTGCAGGTGCTTTGGACGTGGCCTGTCCTTTCTTTGAATCTTACTCTTACTTCCCCCCAAAATACACATACAGATGTGTATGTATACACGTATATGTGTATATTATATGTATATACACATATACATATTTGCACATGTATATATATATGTACATATATGTATATACATGTATACACACATCACACACGCAACGCCCTTCCGTGTCTGCTCTATCACGTCACGGGACCCCAATCTCTCTCTCTCCCCCGAACCCCCCCCCCACACACACTGCCTCAGGACGGTGTGCTGATTCGGTCCGCGTTAATCTGCGAGGGCGCCGTACTCCGTTCGGGCTGCTCCGTGGGTCCCGGGTCCATCATCTCGTACGGCTGCGTGGTGGACAGCCGACACGTGGTGCCGCCGTACACTCGCATCAGCTTGTGTCAGCAAGTCCTGGGCCTGGTGAGATGCGGAACCAGCTTAGCTTAGCTTGCCAGTCTTTGCCAGTCTTTGCCAGCTCTTGTGATCTCTGGGCGCGCGCTCACGTTCCGAATGCTCTCCTGCTGGGAAGCCGGTCCGCCCCCTTGTTCCCGCGTTCTGTCATCTGTTAGCAGCCCTCATTCCCTTGTCTCCTTCTCTGCCCCACATCACGTCGGTTCCGGCCCAGGGCCTCTCCGCCGCTCCAGCAGCGGCCTCCCCTTCCGCCAGCCCTTACGCCTCTCTGCTGTTTGGAAGTTGTAAAACATGCCTCGTTGGACATTCCTGTCATGATGATGCCTTCTGTGTCTGAGGCACACTTGTCTTTGGGGCCGGGGGCCCCCCGCCTACTTGCTTACCTGTCTGCTTACCTGCCCATCTTCTCTTCCCGCCGCAGCACGATAGCGATGACGAGCTGGAGTACTCGACTGCGGCGGCAGGTCCTGGTGCGGCGGCGGCTCAGGGCTCCCCGCGGGGCCGCCAGGGCGCCCGCCGCAGCGGCGACCACACAGACGAGGACGACGACGAGGAGGAAGAAGATGGGGGCGAGGGGCCTGCGCGGCTTGGCGACTTTGCAGACGACCACCTAGGTAGGGGTCGCGGCCTTGTGGAAGGATGGGTGGGGGGTGGGACGGGGACGGGGACGGGGAAGGGGAAGGGGAAGGGGACGGGGACGGGGACGGGGACGGGGACCGCATGCTCCTCAGATCGGTCTCTACCTGTCCCTGCCAGCCCCCTTGCCCTCCTTGTGCTCTACTTTCCACGTGTAAAGATATGTGATTGATTGATTTCACATTTACTGTGGACGTCAGCGATTGATGCAGCGCTGGGTCCTCCCAGCAACGCTGCTGGGTAGAGCATTTCCACACTTTGTTACCCTGCGTCACACCCGCCCACTACCACGCACCCAAACCTCCCACCCACTACCATCCACTACCATCCACTACCATCCACTTATCCCCGACTCCCGCCCCTCTGCCCTGGATAGTTGGGTCGGTCGGGTCGGCGCGTGCTAGGGGTTGGGAGGAGCACTTTGCTTGTCACCAGCTTTTCATCACCAGCTAATCAGCCGGATTTGTTACAATCTCGTAAGTGCCGCCGCTGGGCCGGCGGCAAACTTTATTCCAGCGCACGTCATCAGTTTTTTTCCTACTTCTTCGCCGCCTCTACACCAATCTTTACTTTTTTACGGCTTCGTGCTACTACTTTTCTTCCGCTCTTTATTTAGTCTTGCCGGCTAAGGTAGGTAGGTTTCCGCGGTCGTCATCATTACATTAGCCCGAGGCCGCCGCCTTCAAGAACGCCTACTGGTCAGTTCTGGTGCTTGTACACTCTTTCCTTGGCAGCAGCTTCACTCGTTCGTGGTTCGTCTTTCCCCCCTGCCCCGCTAGGGCGGCACCTCACATCGTCCCGGCAGTTTTCCCTCCTCCCTTGACCCCCTCCTCCGTCCGCCCACGCCTCTTCCTCCGTCTCCTCATTTCTACCCATCCATGGGTGCTTTGGAAGTGTCGGCAGTCGTTGAACCTCTGCTTCTTGATGCATGTGGCTTCCGCCCTCCCCTCCCCTCCCCTCCATCCCGCGAACCCCCGACCCGCGAGTAGGCAAGAGCTTGGAGCGGCCCAGCTCCCACGCGCTGCGTGCGGCTGCGGCGCTAGCGTTGGGCTGTCCTCTTCAGGGCGAGGAGACCGCGGTGTCGTTCCAGGCGTCCGCTGTGGGTCCGGGGGGTGCTGGCTACCAGTGGGACCCCCGGGAGGGCGCCACAGACCTGGACAGGTTCTCCATTGCACCGCCCAGCACGTGAGCCCGGGGGAGGGGGGAGGCAGGGGCCGGGAGGGAGAGGGGGAGGGCAGGAGGGGGAGATGGACTGTATGATGATGATGATTACGGCGATTATGATGATGATGATGATGATGATGATGATGATGATGATGATGATGATGATGATGATGATGATGATTGAAAGCAAAGGAACGGCAGCCGACCAAGATCCAAGTTACCCCATGCTTGAGGAGAGGTTGGGTTGGGTTGGGTTGGGATTGGAGGGGGAATGCGGACAAAGTGTGTGCGGAGGAGAAAGGGGAGTGCAAACGCTAAGGGAGGAGGGTAGGTTGGTATGTAGGGGTTGCGGAGAGCGGGAGGGAGGGGAGGGGAGGGGAGGGAGGTTGCATGCCGGGTGTAGGTGTAGTGCGTCAAAGGCCTGGATGGAGGAACTTCTTAATCCGGTCCAGCGGTTCACCACGGGTCTCGGAGCAGATGTATGTATGAGAGCCCTTGATTGGTCGCTAAGCCCATAACTGTATCCCCTTCTGTCACGTGGCATCCTGCCTTGTTTTCCAATACACTCATCTCCTCTGTCCCCTCCCATTTCGGGGGGGGGGAGAAGACTTCCCCCCTCAATGACGTTTCTTGCGTCCTTTCCCTTGCTCCTCTTCTCCACCTTCGCACCGCCGCTACTGCGGCCGCTACCGCCGTCAGGATGTTGCTGACGGCGGAAGACGCGGCGGCTGCGGACGAGGCGGCAGCCATGGCGGCCGGGGGGGCCGGCGGCGCGGACGCGCAGGTGGGCGGCGGCGGCGGTATGGGCGGCGGCGCTGACGGCACCGGGGACAGCGACGACGACTCCGACGAGGGCGGTCGCGATCCTGAACGTGTGTGGCGGCGGGAGGTGGAGGAGACCTTCCTGCGCTGCATCAAGATGCGCTTTGACGTGGTGAGTGACTGGCTGGCTGGCTGGCTGGCTGGCTGGCTGGTACGGCAAAATCACATGCAACCAAGCAAAGGGTCGTCTACCCACGTCCAAAGCCACCTACCCGAGAAGCTGGATGGGCGGCTGGATGGGTATATGGCAGGTTGTCCTGGCCCGGCGCTGACAGCCGCCTTCGGACACCTCGCATCCCTCCTCTCCCTCGTCTTGGTGCCGTAGCTCAACCTGGGTTTCATTCGTACGTGCCTGGCTCCCGCACCAGTGGCGACTCCTGGCTCAGCGCTCTGCAACACCCCTGCTCACCCCTGCTCTTTGTCATACCCTCCCACCACACTCCTTTAGTCTTGTTTTCAATACTTCCCCTCTCCTGTCTCCCTCTCTAATCCCGCCCTCCCCCTCCCCCTCCCTCTTCCGCAGCAGCCCTCCTCTCTCCTCTCTTCTCGCCTCTCTCGCCCCCCTCTCACCTCTTTCCGCCAATCCCTCCCCGCCGCAGTCCAATGTGGTCATTGAGCTGAACGGGCTCAAAATCGCGGAGGACCGCACCTTCGC